CCCCCCTCCTCCTGTGCAAAGAAAAATCCTGGGACCCACAGCGTATTTCTCTCCCCCTGCACCCCTTCCTTACGTATCCCCACAAATCTCTGCACTTACTCCACATACCCCTAATCCCTTCCTCCACCCATCTGTCACTAGCTCTCTGCCTTCCCTCCCCTTTCTGGGCCCTCAGCTATCAGAGAATCGTAGAAATGTAGGGCAGGAAGGGACCTCCAGAGGTCACCTAATCCAGCCCCCCACACTGAGGCAGGACCAAGTAAATCTACATAATTCCTGGCAGGTATTTGTCCAACCTGTTCTTAAAAACCTCCAGTGACAGGGAATCCACAAACACACTTGGATGCCTATTCCAGAGCTTAACTTCTCTGAGAGTTAGCAATTTTTTCCTAATATCTAACCTAAATCTCTCTTGCTGCGGATTAAGCCAATTCCTTCTTGTCCTACCCTCAGTGGACATGGAGAACAATTGATCACCATCCTCTTTAGAACAGCCCTTAACAGATGTGAAGACTGTTCCAGGAGGGATCCTAGTTTTCCAGGATAAAAAAAATTCTCAGCTAAAAAAAAATATAAAAATCTGTGTTTTTCTGTGATTATAGTTAAATGCTGAACTTTAGTTTCCCTAGCCACAATATATATAGGTATCAGTTGAACACGTTTTTCTGATATATTTACAGTTGTAAAACGATGGAATGATCCAGTCACAGTGCATTGTTCCATTGCTGTTGTCGATGACCCTGCTGTTTCAGACTCGGTTTTGCGTCTTTTCATTCAGCTCATGTTTAGTGCTTTCCATGTGTTCTACAGTTGTCTGCCTTTGAACATTATCTACAGCCTTGCCGCCTACAGAACAGAACAGCACATTACCATCAACGTGAAATTTGTCCTTCCAGCTCAGTGACTTGATCTTTAGGGGTGATTCTTAAAGTTTTTGGCATCTTTTCATAACTTTAATTACTCACATATGGAGGCTGCAGTGAAATTTGAAATGCATTAAAACACAAACCCCTATATGCCATTCAGTAAGATCTATACGCCGGAAGTAGTTTATTGGAGTACGTTTAGCTATGTAAATTTAAAGCACATTCAAAAATCAACCACAAGAGGGGGAGGTTGCATGCATTGCATAAGTGGCACTGGTACTTTCAATAAAATTTATTTAATAGTTAATATATATTTTTATTTTTTCACAAAATGTAAAAACTAAAGATTCTCTGTAAAAAATGCAAAATCCACATTTTTCCACAGCAAACGGATTTCTAGGATCTCTGATTGTCTGGTTCCCCCTCAGTCTTCTTTTCTGTAGACTAAACATGCCCATTATTCTCATAGGGCAGGTTTTCTAAAACTTTTATAATTTTTGTTGCTCTCCTCTGGAAACTCTCCATCTTATCCACGTCTTTCTGAAAGTGCGGCACCCAGACCTGAACATTCCAGCTGAGACCTCACCAGAGCCGAGAAGAGTGGGACAATGACCTCCTGTGTCTTCCATACAACACTCCTGTTAACACACCCCACAATGATATTAGCCTTTTTGTCCACTGCATCACATTGTTGACTCATATTCAATTTCTGATCCACTATAACCCCCAGAACCTTTTCAACAGTACTACCACCAAGTTAGTTATTCCCCATTTTGTAGTTGTGCATTTGATTTTTTCCTTCCTAAGTGAAGTACTTTGAACCTGTCTTTATTGAATTTCATCTTGTTGATTTCCGACCAAATCTGCTCTTTGTTAAGGCCATTTGAATTCTAATCCTGTCCTCCAAAGTGCTAGCAACCCCTCCTAGCTTGGTGTCATCCATAAAATTTATAGGCGTACTTTCCACTACATTATCCAAGGCATTAATGAAAATGTTGTATAGTACCACACCCAGGACAGACCCCTGATGGACCTCACTAGATATGTTACTCTCTTTGACAGCAAAGCATTGATAACTACTCTTTGAGTATGGTCTTTCAACTGGTTGGGCACCCACCTTATAGTAATTTCATCTGGATCACAGTTCCATAGTTTGCTTATGAGAAGATCATGTGGGACTGTGTCAAAAGCATTACTAAAATCAAGATCTGTCAAGTCTACAACTTCCACAGCGTCACGGGGCCAGTAACCCTGTTAAAGAAGGAAATGAGGTTGGCTTGGCATAATATGATCTTGATAATTCCATGCTGGCTTTTACTTATAACCCAATTATCCTCTAAATCAATGGTTCCCAAACTGGGGTTCGAGAACCCCTGGGGGTTCACGAAATGTTACAGGGGGTTCTCAGGAAAAAATTCCCTAATGGTGGACAAAGCTGTCCCTAGGGACCCCGGGCAGCATGGGGCCAGCCGCCTGGAGCCCCTGGACTTCCAAGAGCTAAGCAGATGAAAGCAAGCATAGCTATCAAACTTCAAGACTCCTTATAAGAAATAGAAAGAGGGGTGGATATTTTTTGCTGTTTTTAAAATTAAATAGTAGCTAGTCTTGTTTTTAAAATTATTATGAAGAACAAGTTTAAGGTTTGTTGTAATGTGCGTTGTTTGCCTGGACTGCTCAAGACCTGAATGCTTGTGTAGGAGGAACTCTTTGAGTTGGCTTCTTAAATACCTTCCTGCTGTTTCACATCTGATACTCCTTGATGAAACGTAGGAGCCTTGTCTTATAACAGGCTTCTTCAAAGTGATACAAGCTACGAAAGTGAGATCTTGGAAGAGCATTGCAATTTTCATAATGTAATAAAAATACTGTAATTATAAACAATAATTAATAATAGTATGTAATAAGCATGTCATAAAAACAAATTTTATATTTCCAAGATCACTGCTTTTATAATTTATATTCAGGTAAAGGAGAAAATCCCTGTAAATATTCATTTTGAGGCGGGGGTTCGCGAGACTTGACATTTTAATGAAAGGGGTTCACAGGTTGTTAAAGTTTGGGAACCACTGCTCTAGATGCTTACAAATTGATTGTTTCATAATTTGTTCCAGTCTCTTCCCAGGTATCGAAGTTAGGCTACTGGTCTATAATTTCCCAGATCTTCTTTGTTCCCCTTTTTAAAGACAGGTGCTATGTTTGCCCTTCTCCAGTCCTCTGGGACCTCACCCACCCTCCAGGAGTGCTCCCCATCCTCACCCCCATGTCGCCTGTGTACTTTGATTCAACCGTGTTGCTACTTCCCCTCCCAATCAGGTCCCCCAGTGGTCCTGCACAGAAGATAGGAGGTGACCATCTTCACTGAGGACAGCCCAGCTCCTGTCCCCTAGGAGAGGAGACAGTGGTGATTTTCAGTAGGACAGCCTCACTGCTACTGACAAAGGTGGCAAGGGAGTGGCAGCTGTTTTAACTGAGTGGCTTCAGCCCCATTGAAAGTCATAGGAGATAGTGGCCATTTTGACAGAGGGCAAACGTTCACGGGATTTGGGGAGATCCGGAGAAGCTGGAAGGATGACAGCCGGCAGCTCTGCTCCGATTCTCTTCTCCGAAACAGCCTCTCACCACACTGTTCTCTCTCCCCGTCCCATCCCCTCTCTCGGATCAGGAATTGGGGCCACGCCCTGTCCCAGTGACTGGCTGTTCTACCAAGGTCGATGCTATGCGTTCTTCCCTGAAAAAGTGTCCTGGTCGGAGGCTGAGGTACGAGACTCTTCTCAGGGGTCCACCGGGCAGGGAGGGTTAGTGGACAGGGGCTGAAGGGGTTTGGTGACATCACCATTGGCCCCGGGGTGAATCATTGCAGAGGTGGGGTGGGGAGGCTGCAGAAGTGACGTGGCTGGTGCCAGGCCCTGGGGCTCGGGAAGAGGCACCGAGAGGGGGCTCTCTCCCCTCACAGCCATCCCTGCTCCTGCTGCAGCCTGGTGGGGAACGCCCCACCTGTGCCAAACAGCGTCCTCTTGCAGGGAGGTAACAGGCCTCACTGATGTCCCTGCTGCAGGTCCAGTGTCAGTATCACCACAATGGGGCCCATCTCGCCTCCATTCTCACTGAGGCAGAAGGGACCATGGTGGCCAGATACATCAGGGAGTCACACTTCAAGGATAATGTCTGGATCGGACTCCACGACCCCCGGAAGGTGAGTGCCCAGAGCCTGCTTTGCCTCTGGCAGCTGCTCCCTCCCCGCCCCATGACTCTGTTTCCCAGGGGCTGTGCGAGACCATGTCCCATGAGCCCTTCATAGGGGCTGCCAGGATCTCCCTCCCCCGCTCCCAGAGTCTCCCATCTGCACTCCACCTTTAACCCCTGCCCTCCCGCACCCCTTCCGTCTCTATCCTACCATAAGCTCCGACTCCCCTTTAGCTTTTCCCTTCTAAATACAGCCAGGCCCTGCTCTCCCCATCATCAAACCGACCTTTGACCTCTCCAGCTACTGCCCGGTCTCCCTTCCTCCTCCCAGCTCATGCAATATGCCATGTCCTCCCTGTACACCCCACATCCCGTCTCCACTCGACTCTCACCAAGTTTTCTAGCCACTTTTTCCTGCCCAAGACTTGAGTCTCTGCTCCCCCTTGACCTCTGCGCTGTCCCTGTCACTGCTGGTCGCTCCCTCAGCTTGGGGATCCCGTCCTCACCTGGTTCTCCTTAGGAGAGCCCCCAGCTCCTTAGGGCAGGGACACGAAGGGGGAGCAGTCACAGGCTGGGAAGGGGCCCCAGGGGGCGAAGGAGCCATTATGAACATAGAACTGGAAAGAACCTCCGGGGTCACCGAGTCCAGCCTGTGCTATGGCCGACAACCCCGTCACACGACCCCCTGCGTAAACTTATCAACCTCCATCTGAAGCTTTGTCTCCATCAGTTTCCTTTTCCCTCCCCCCTGCCAGGGAGGCTCTGGGGTCAAGAGGCTCCCCGAATAGCACCCACAGACTCAGCCCCTGGATCCCCCGCCCCAGACTGGAGACTAGACTGGACCCAGTGCAGGAGGAGTGAGGGGCTCTGTATCCCTTTCTCTAGTGTCCTCAGCCCTCCAGCTCCCCCCGGCCTGGCAATGGATTGGATCCAGTTCTCTGACCCACGAAGCCAGTGAGTATTCTCAGGAGCTGAGGCCAGGCCAGAGCCAGCACCCCTAGAGGTGAAAGGCCCCATGTCCCCTTCTCTGATTCTACTGCACTAGCCAGTCCTGCTAACTTGGGGCCAGACTGACGCTGGAGGGGAAAAGGCCCCGTGTCCCATTCACTGATCCATCCAGCATCTCCAGCACAGACGCACTTTTATTTTGCTTACACAGGACGAGATCACTCACCTTAAAACCACCAGTGCCCCCAGCGGGCTGTGTCCACTAGGGACTAGAACACACTGCAGAGCGACTGCTTCATGGTGCGGAGATTTGTTAATACAGGCAAAGAGCTTGGAAGGGAGATGGTGAAGTACATGTGCTAAGTTAGGGTTACCATATTCAAACATTTAAAAAAGAGGACACTCCACGGGGCCCCGGCCCTGCCCTGCCCCCGGCCCTGCCCCAACTCCGCCCCTTCCCCGCCCCCAGCCCCACCCCAATCCCACTCCTTCTCCACTCCCATTCCAACCCTTCCCCAAAGTCCCTGCCCCAACTCTGCCCCCTCTTGTGAGCACCCCGCATTCCCTCTCCTCCCTCCCGTTCTGATCTTGGTTGGGGGTTGCTAAGTGCTTCCCTGCTCCCCACTCGCCCCGCAGCCCCTATGCCCTTGCCTGCCCTGCTCCTCCACGCCCTGCAGCCTCTGCACC